CATTGACATATGCAGTCATCATTTACGGGCTCCACTTATGTATTCACCTATATAAAAGATCATACGGAAAAAAACTATTTAAAAAGATTTTAGAAATACTTAATAACTAGATAATGACTAGAATAAGAAAAATAATAACTAGTTAATAACTAGAAGTTAAAGGTCAACAAAAGGAAATCAATAAAATAAAATTTTAAAGGGGAAACAGCCTTTAATGAGGAGCATGAATTTTCAGTCTTGCAATGATCAAAGATAACTAGCAATAGCATTTTATTCATTTTGAGGTCCCTTGCCTTTTACTTTGACGTGTGTCTTTTACTTTTTTACTATTATGTACTAACAAGCAAAAACATTACAACTCGTGCATTGTATTTTGTAATGCAATATTTTAAATTTGATATATGTATCAAATGAAAAAGGAACCTATGAGAAAATAACTTGATTTGATGAGAATAAAATTTATAATATTTTTACTCTTTAATATTCAGTCTTTTATAGTTATTTAGTGTCTAATTGGACTCACTATTCTTGTATTTCGATTTAGGGCACGAAAGAAGGCATTAGGTGAAAAACAAGCTAATCGGATAATTTTGCACAGTTTCGGCACCGTGTGATAATTTGGGCATAACTCTCTCATACGGGCTTCGATTGAGATGATTCAAGATGCATTGGAAATATAAGGAAAAACTCTACAACTTTCATGTTTTGAGTTTTGATAGATTCGGACTGAATCGAGGTCAAAATCGAGCCCGAAGTCTAAGTCAATTTGTAGAGAAGCCCAATTTGCAGCAGAAGCCAATTCGCAGAGAAGCCTTGCAGCGGCCCAATTCGTTGAGGAAGCCCAATACGAATGCAAGAATAAGAAACATCAAATAGTCCTATCAGATTCAATTTTCTATTGTATTTCTAGAAGGATAAAAGAGATTAAGATTACTAGTTAAGAGATAAGAGTAGATTAGATCTAATCTAGGCATTATCTATTAGAAAACTGAACTCCCAATGGAGAAAAAACTCCTTAGAGGAGCAGGAGACAACTCCCTCCTAAGTCTATATAAAGGGGGTGGACTAGCACCCAAGGGCATCATCAAATCCTCCAAGAGAGCTTCAGCCTTCAAGAAGAGCAATCAGCAACAAAGAAGGAAGAAGCAGAGTTCACCCCCTCTCATCTGGAAGCTGCGATTTCATCATGAAGTGTCTGTAAGGTTTTAATTTCTGGTTGAAGGGTTAGGGAAGCTTTGATTCTATAAACATTGTGAAATCTAATTGATTTTTATTTCAGTTCATTGTTTATGGGTATTCATATGTTTTCTGCGATTAACTGTGAAGAWTATTTTTATTGATTAAGCAAGAAGGCGCCCTTGCTCATTCAATGAGAATAATCTATGGCCGATTGAACCTCCAGTTTTGTATATGATTGGTAGGTTTAATCATGGTGGCAACTAACATAAATTGATTGCAAAAAAGTTTTTGATCTATGTTAGGAAAATATATGATCTGGTTTAAACGGTCTGAGCTTGTGAGATCGTTGACCAGAATTGGATCTCTCCCCTCTTAATGCTATTAATAGATTAAATCCTAAGAGCTTGTTTAGGACTGTYTATTAATAAGAGAAGCAATCAAAGAGCTTGTTTTGGTTGTCGAATAATACGAGTAGAGGCTGGCTATTAGAGCTTATTAATGGCTATAACCAATTTATTCATATCCTATGAATTCATCCTTGCATCGAGGATCAATGATAAGAATCAAAGTTGAACTTGTCCCTTCAACCAGAAGCTATCTCCCATCGATTTGATCCTTGCTTTTTATTGTTTTCTTTTATTTCATCTCATTTTCCTTATCTTTACAACCCCCTACTTCGCATACTTGGAAATAAATCCACCCAATCCCTGTGGAGATGACCTTGCTCATCACTATATACAAATTATTCACTCGAGCAAGACTTTTTATCTTTGGTTGGATTCGACACCCACCTAAGTAGCAAATAGTTTTTTCACTATATCCAGAATTCCCAAGTTCATAAGCTCCTTGAACCACAAGGTAAATAATGGTAAGAGTTCTTGTCTACACACATAATATGCATCCAACAATGTAACAACATAGGAGGAAAGGTTCAGTATATGGTTCTTTGAAAACAGTATTATCCCATGATGAAGGCCTCTATCTTTCTTGTAAAATAGTTATTTAACACAAGCCTGGAATTTATCAAAAGACAACTACACATCTTGTCTTACCGTAGAAGCCCAAAACATATCAGCAGTTATGTGTCTGTATTTGTCCCCTTCATATGTAGACAACAATCTAGAACCATGGACCATTTCTGGTGCAAGGGTAAAACCTAAGGGTTACAAACCTTAGAAGTTTAGAACATAGGTTCAGGTCTGAGAGTGGCCATTCTGCAAAAAAATGCAGTCTTAGATTTCACTCCTCACAACATCTTCAGTGGGAGTTCAATATTTTGGGCAGTTATTTAATTAAGAAAAGTGACATTGACTTTTTTTTGTAGGTATCTTTCAATCTAGTCTATTTAAAAAGAGAGGAAGGGGAAGAGACCCCAATACAAGAGGAAAGTAGGTATCTTTCAATCTAGTCTGAAATCAATACTAAATATAAACTTAGATATCCTTGAAAAGTAACTAGAAAATAGTAATAAAGATGTACAAAATCTCAACTGTAACATTTATTTTGATTGGCAAAGCTTCACTATAGCATTTCAAATGGAGCAACCAATAATCAACCAGGTTGATAGATCTAAACTTGCTTCTCTTGATCATGTAAATCTGATGCAAGTAAATTCCTCCGAGTGAAATTTGAGCTTGTCTTGTCTTGTGAAAAACTTGTCTTGGTCAATAGTATGATATTTGAGCTTCCCACCAACTACTTTACTCCAACCCTCAAGGGAATAAGTCCACCTTTTTGAGAACTATAATCGGAACAATTTCATAGAGATTGAGCACCCTACTTTTTAGCTCACCGGTCACTTCCGTTAGAGTTTTCAAGGCCCATTAACCTTAGTTCAGTTCATGCATGCTATGATCTTCTCGCTTTATCTACCTTTCCACTGTACTCCATCTCCTAATGTTCAACTATAGCTAACCAAGTTGAATTTACGAGCCCAAATCTTACAGAATTGAAAAAATTATACAAACTTAAACCCAATACCTTAAATACTGAACTTTATCTTAGTATTCATTTTTTTTTATGATAGCAATTTCCAAACAAACCCTTTGTTTTGTCCTTTTTTTTGTTGCAGTGCAAATCTTCAGAGCAAAATTCGTACTTGGTTCAGTTTTGTTTTTGTTTGTTTGTAATTATGATTTTCATTTTACTTGATACAAAATTTATACTGTCTTTTTTACATTCAATGAGTGTAAATTTTRCATCCCAAAAACTGATGCAAAATTTGCACCAACTTCCCGCTACCTCAGTTCTTTCTCTACTTCTCATATAAAGTGGAGATCATCTTGCATCCTACTTACTCTAAACAGATAACCCAGCTCCTATCTCCATTCTCTTTCATAGGCTGTGTTTAGTTTGAAAGAAAGGGCAGGAAATGATAGGGAAGCCTACATGAAGCAAAAGTAAACCAAAATTTACACTCATCCCTTTTACGCTTCCATGAATCTAGACCATGGTGAATGAAGTTTAGACTACAATCAAACGTAGCCTTATATTCCATATAAATGTAAATGACGACACACGCATGGACTGACATTTGTATGTGCAGAAACTCTTGCAATTCCATTCTCCTCATTGAGAAGTAGCACCAAAAAGTTAGTGTACAAATAAAGGGGAAACCTTCTAGATAAATCAATAAAATCTAAATGAGAAGGGAGCCTAGAATAAACATTGGAATTGGCATCTATTGTTTGATTCGCAATCTGCTCATTCCCATTGTTCCGAAACTTCATTGTGTTCCTATAAGCAAAGCATTGATGTGATTGGGTTGTGATGTTTCCATGAGAAGACTCCACCCATCCAGCCAAAAGAAAAGACCTACTTGTTGTAGTAAGAAAATCTCCATTTGAGCCATTGAAGTCCGAAACTAAGGTGATCACTAGAGGATGGACATCATATTTAATCAACTTTCCTTTAGTTCTAGCACTTTGTTTATCCAACCTTACGTGCAAATTTGCATCTATGTACCACACACTAAGAGCATTTGTTACACTAAACCCCAACTGGTGCTGCCTTCCATCCAAAACTTTTCCTATGAATGGAATAATATCAATATCATATGAAGAGAGATCAAAAGAATCAATTCCAGAGATGGGTCTCCATAGCAGAGGATTGATCCCTCCAGTGTATATACAGTAGAAGGCCAGACAACCCCAACTACAGTATCATCAATACTAACTATAACCTCCCTAAAAGGTCCATTTCTTGGAGTCTGAGTAAGATTAATGGAAATCAATTCCTTAACTCTCCACGACCACCTTAAATTACAATTTTAACATTAACGTGCAGAGCAAGTCACCTAACATCAAACAGGTTTATATTTCAAAATTCTTCATTCTGTTTAGACGCATATGGGACATGTGCAATGCAAAAATCCACCAACAAAGCGTGTTGGATCCCCCTGCAACTGGTGGAGAAAGCTGGACCCTATGGACAACCACAAGCAATAAACAAATAGTTCACCAAACACCCCCCAGAAAAATCCTGAAGCCTACATATATGTTGATGGCTCATACGATCCAATAACAGGCGCAGCTGGAATAGGTTACGTTATTCTAACAAATAGTTCACCAAACCGCATCAAACGAGTGTTTCTAAAATGACTGAATCATTTGCTATGCCAACTATTTTTATTTTATCTTTTTCTTTTTTTTTTCTTTTTTGAGATGTATATATGATTTCGATCGCAGAAATTTGAAATGTAAATAGACATCAAAAAATGTTGATGATAGAACACTAACAAATGTTAAGCCCTAACCTGGAGCCTAATGTGTCAATGGAATCCGAAAAAAAATAATAATAAGAGCAATGGCAGTTGATTATACCTGAACACGGTGAAGAACAGCTAGTAATTAGCCTCCTACAAGAAAAGATGTCTATTAGTACTTGATGGAAGAAGAAGAAGAAGGGGAAATTCATGGAACGATGAAAAAAATAGAAGATTGAAGGAATTAAAAGGGGAACTACCTGCGTCGATGCTTCTCAGTCGCTTGGGGCAAAGTTCGGAGAATGAAGGATGTTTCGTTGAGTTCGAATTTTTGCTAGATGTAAGTGAAAAGCCCTAATAGACCAAAAGCTTCAGTTGTAGCTTTTCAAATAAAGACCATTTTGGACTTTTACGGTCTTTTAGGGGTCTTATCTTTTGGTTTAATGGGCTTTCATTATCCAAACAAAAAAAGACGGTTTTTAGTCTATCGAGCTTTTAAAAGCCCACTAGATCTTTCAAAAAGAATTGTCAAACAGAGCCTAAATTCCGGAACTTTGCATAATCCCAACCAAAATCCAAAAATCTAAGTTCATCACATGTAAAATTGTGAGATATATCAATCCGGGCTTGTGATAGGCCGGCCCAAACTGAACCCCTACAACAAACCAAGATTTATTTGCCCGGGTTGGGCCTGACGATGTTTGCCAAAAGCTTGCATTGCTTGTCCCGGCACCCAGCTGACTTAGCGGTTATTGGGTAACAATGTTTGATTCAAAACCAAATAACAAAATTAAATGCTTGTCACAGTGCTACACCATTAACGTTGTATTTGCATAGGAAAAACGTTCATTGACCGGATCAAGGATGCACTTGTTGTTTCAACATGGATGGATCCAGTGGCTGACCCGATCATACATGGCTAGGAGTTGCAAATGGATCGGATTTAACAACATCCGAGTCCCATCTTTCCAATGGAAACTAATACCTGTAGGGGTGAGCAAAAAATTCGAAAAACCGAATCGATCGAAACCAAATTGAAAAATCGGTTAATTGAACTAGTCGGTTCAGTTTCAATTTAGTGTTTTTAAAAAACCAAAGGTATCGGTTTGGTTTCGGTTAACTAATATAGAAAATCAGTGGTTAACCAAGTCGACCGGCATATATATATTTCTATATATTTTATATTTTTATATATTATAAGTTAATAAATATGCATTATATATATAAATGTATTTATATTTATAATATATGATATATTATTTATTATTTAAAATATAATAGTTTATATATATATATATATATATTTATGATTTTTATTATATTTTTATAATATATATTGTAAAAATTAAAAAAACTGAAAAATCAATGAACCAAACTAACGATTAATCGAACCGGTCAACCGATTAATCAACTGGCTTTAGTTCAGTTTTGCTTACCGGTTCAGTTCGGTTCCAAAAAAAAGCTCCACGGTTTGATTAACCGAATCGTGAGCACCCCTAGATACCTGAATTTGTTCCATAATCTGGTGAGATTTGAAGATCTCATATTGGACTCATATTTAAGTCTGTTTCGTTTTTTAAATAAAAATAATTATTTTTAAAAAATATAATAAATTAATATAAATATTAAATATGAAATATGAAATTAATATGTAGTATAATATATATAATTAAATTTTATATTTTATATATTATAATATAATTGAATTCTGATGGAATTAAATGTGCATTCGGTCTGATTATTAGTTGAATTTAAATTGTAAAATCCAAATATGATCCTTATATAAAGAGGTCATCGGATGTAAGATAATCGGTTCGAATGTTGGATCGGATTTTGGACTTCAAAATCCTTTGGCAGTTCTATCCATAGGATCTGCTGGGCTACATGTTTGAAGTGTAAATGTTCTCTGAATATGCACACCTGTAAACTTTGGGCCTAAAGGGAGGTTTATACGTTTTTTTTCTTTTCTTTGAAGTCAATAGACAGGTTTTATTCATAAAATGCTCAGATCACAAGCACGAGAAATACAATCAGTGGAGGGTGCAACTTGGACCGGCTCATATTGGACTTTTGTGGATCCGGCCCAAAAACCTGAGCTCAAAGTAGTATGGTTTTTAAAACCGATCAGGTGATCGAACTGGTCAAGGGTCCGGTTACCAGGTCGAACGGCCTGATCGTTCAAACCAAACGTTTGGCTCGTTATGACAAAATAATAAAAAATTTCAAAAAAGTAAAAAACAGTCAAAATCGTTCGAATGGTTAATTGCCCGGATCAGCGGTTCGCTGACCAAAATAAACAGTTTTGGGAGGAAATCCGATTTTTGGAGAAAACTGACCGGTTCCCGGTTTTTCCAGTCCGACCGTCCGGTCCGGTCCGATTTTGCAAACGATGCAATAGTGTAAAATTGTAACTTGGGCCAACCTAAATTGCAACCATAACAGTTGGAAAAATCCTCAGCACACGGCGCATCATATCTACCTCCAATAGAGATCAAATTGACAAGCATGGCTCCCTCAAGACAGGGCCACATGGAGTTATAAAGAGAACAGATAACCATAGCAAAAAGTTTGAAATCCGGGGTTCATTTGGATGCAGCGGGAGAAAGCCCAAAACTTCTTCCTATTTTGATGAATATATAAATTTATGGTATCGTATATATTTTCAAGGCAGATACACCTGTGTCCTGTGTTTTAAGGGTTTTAAGAAAATCTTTTATTTAAAATAGAGGCAATGCTCCTTCGATTTCTGACTTTCTGTGTTACGTCACTTACGTTTCCAAGAATTCTAAACATGATAAAAATGTGTGATGTGGCACCATTCACGAATAGTACTGATGCTCTCATTTTCCTTTCCGAAATGCGAAAGCTACGTCCTAGGTTTAGCAGAATTAGAAATCTAGCCTCACTGTTGCTTTTACAATATTTTGAACATTACACACGCACAAACGAACATCCTTATATTTCGATCCATCTGGATCTGGATCAATCCTGGTCCGTCCGTCCTTTCTTCTACTTGGTACTTGTATGGATTCAGAAGAAAAAAGAGTTCAGCTGGTTTCTCTATTTGTTAATTACTTTCGAGTAGGTAATGCACGTACACAACCAAACCTAGTAAGATGAGGTGTGTGTGTGAGAGAGAGAGGACTGAAGGAAGAATTATATTAGAGTAGAGAGTAGAGAGAGCATCTGGGCTTCGTCGAAAGTAACTTTCTGTGCGTACCCGATGGAATCGATCCAATATTGGTTGGTGCATGACATGAGATGAACTAATTAAAGCGTCTTCTCCCTCTTGAATCTTGATAACGATTCACATGCATTCGCGCTCGTGGTCATCAGTCATCACATGGTATGTTTGGCCCGGCCTTAATTGATTAAACGACACTGAAAACTCAGAAACCGTTCCATCTCCACATCTTCTCTCTCTCCTTCTCTTCTCTATATAAACAAGCTTAGGAAGGGCGCCAGAGGATATCTATCATTACAAAGAGAAGCAGAAGAAGGGTAAGAGCAAAAGGAGTGAGAAGAGTTTAGAGGAAGGAATTAAAGAAAATCGACATGGCAGGTGGTTATGGGGTTAGCAGAAAGGTTGCGGTAGTGGTAATAAGCATATTGGCGGCATCTTGGTTGATGGTAGACGCCGTACCCCGTAGGACGATGGCCACCATTAATTGCGACGAAATGATCAATTCAATAGCACCATGCCTCAAATATCTTAGGGGAGATGGGAGCCTACCCAAGGAATGCTGCGACGGAGTCGACCATGTCAACTCCATGGCCACCACCAAAACCGATCGTCAGCAAACCTGCAAATGCATTGTCGACACTATGGCCAGTGTCTCTGGCCTCCATGATGATCTCGTCAAATCGCTTCCCACTAAATGCGGACTCCATCTTTCTTTCGAAATAAGCACTCATATGGACTGTTCCAAGTATGCTACGTACCTGCTCATTCTCTCTCTCTCTCCTTGATTTGTTTGGCCTGATATTTTATTAATTTTTTTACAGGGTGAACTGATGATGGATGAATGGAGCGAGGACAGAATATCAATAAAATTACAAGTAATAACGGCCTCCTTGATAGTTTTATTATATAAAGCTTGCTCCTTTGCAGCATACTGTCCGTCGGTTACGTTGAATAAACATGAAGCTGTAAGTGATATTATATATCTATGAGATGAAATGGTGATCAACTGATCATGTATTAATAAAGTTCATCACTTCGCTTGCCCATGCTTTTTCTTTTTCCTTCATTTTAATTAGATAGAAGGGCATGTCAGACAAAATCATCACAACAGCTCGAATCACTACAGATGGGATTGGGATTTGGGACCCGCAAAAGAACCAGATCTCATTAATTCCTGCTCAAGGGGTATAAGTAGAATAACAATTAAACCATACATTGTGCGGACAGAATACGTAGTCTGTAGCATCTTCAGTCGGTTTACTACATAAGTAATTATTTAACTTGCTTATCGGATTTCCCAAGTACCGTCTACCTTAATAACTAATTAATTATATTGCAACTTCCTCCAATTCCGAATTATGACCCACAGTTGAAAATTTGAATAGGTCTCATTTGAGACTACTGAGAGATTGCCCAAAATGTAAAGTTAAACGGATGATAAAACCTTAATTAATTCCACTGGACCACCCATCCAATTGTTTAAAGTTTAATTCCATGGGAAACCTTTGGATTAAAAGAAAAATTCCTTTCCTTTTAATTTTTTGAACACAAAGGCCCTTTCATCTTAAGATTCTAGTAAGGTTCAAAGTATCGTTCCGGGACCCTTCTGATATACCCCTACAGTAGGTGTATCAGAGGTCTGACCAGTTCAAGGGATGGAAACCTAAATCAGCCCCCTGAACTGGCAGCAAAAAAATAAAAAATGAAGACCTGAAAAACTGTATCAATTCGCCCGATACACCCATACCAGCATATCAAGCATACCCATATTTTAAACCTTGGCTACTAGTGCTAGCCTCTGCAACGTGGTGTGTTGGCCATGAATTAAAGCCTCCGAAGACAAAGAGGCACTACTCCTGTGGAGGGAGGAGGGGATTTCAACAAACGAGTGAATGAATGAGACATCCATTCCATTCCCCCATCTTTTCAAGTGGCATGCTTCATAATGAGATGTACACTGAGCAAATTAATGGAAGTTTGACCTAAGGTGTTCATTATAGCCTTTCCCTAATGAACACCCCTAATGGAGTTATGGAGGTGGAGGGAGGATGAAGGAAAGAAGAGAGGATCATAGCGCATTTCTGGGTTCCATTTGAGGACGGTAGTCGTCACTCTTGATCGTTCGGGTGCCTGCTGAAACCATCACCCCCTTATCGTTAGGGTGCCTGAAACTGAGTGTTTTATCGATCAAAATTGCAAATCACTTCCAGGTAAACCTGCTTTCCATCATTAGCCCCAGGAAAGGTATCTTAAGATGTCAGAATACGTATTTCATCAGGAAAGGTGTCTTAACATGCCAAGAATGAGTAGAATAAACTTTCCAGCTGTTTTACAAGCTGAAGCTGTGCGACCAATCATTTTGCTCCACGAACCACCCCCCCAATCTCTGTCTTGTGTCCTTGGCAACACCTTAACGATTAACAATTGATTCACCAGAGGAAGAGGATCCAACTATCTAATTAATTCATTTGTTATTATTTTTCCTCATCATTAAACAATTTCATTAAAATGGGAGATAAGCATGATGTACAAACCCACCTCCCAAATCCCAAATCCAGTCACTAATATACAAACCAACAGCCTTGCCCAATGTAAACCCAACAGAGTAAGTAATAGGAACGATGTTGAACATGGACGTTAGTTTCTTTTACCCTTTTCAATTTTCATGGAACAGAATTAGTGGATGTCTCTTCCTTCTCCTTGTTCACATCTCCATCAAATAATATTCTTTCTAGACGGTCTGCAAGATTACCTACGGACGAGAGCTGACTTCTTAAGTTCTGATTTTCTTTTCTTAAGAAGTCTACCTCCTTTTTCAATTCCAAGTTCTGCTTTTCTAATATCTGATTTCTTGTTCTTAGGCTATCCTCCTGCATGAACAAAATAAAATATGCTCTAAAGTGAATAAAATAAGTATAAAAACAAGGGAAGTGATTTGGGCAAATTCCTTTTTTTCATATATATAGGGAGTATACCCCTATTCATTAGTCAAAAAGTATTACTGAAAAGAAAAAAGACACTACAAATAGCGGTTTCTTAGTCTAAGAACATGCCCAGGTTATCAAAACCAGGAATTGTCCAAATCAGTCCCCTAAAAATAAGAAAAGGGAAGCTTACATTTTCGATTGAAGCAATCGTAGGAGAGAGTTGTGATGTTGGAAGGTTTAAATTGTCTTTTTGAGCCTCCAGTAATTCTCCAACTATATCTTCCGACTCTTCCAATTTTATAACCTGCTTCTCTAACATTTAGTTTTGTTTTCACCAAAAAAAAACATTTAGTTTTGTTCCTTTAGTTTTCAGTTATCACTAACAGAACAAATTGTGTTGTTCAAACGGATACAAAAGTATATAAAATTAATATAATTAAGCAAAAAAGGCAGTACACCCACATCACTGACTGCATCATTTCTTAATAAGTGGTTCGATGTAGAGAGGGCCTCCAAATTGTCTTTTTCCGCTTCTAATAACTCTCTGACAAAATCAATATTCGACTCCTCTGCAGTTGGTTTAAGCTGCCAAATTATCTAAGTTCCAAAAACAGATTATAGTTTCTATTGGAACATGATCAATATAAAAGAAAAACATGTCTTCATTTGGCAGCTCATCGGATAATGCAATAAATGAATTAATAGTTTTTCTATAGGAATAAATGAATTAATAGTTTCCAGCACCATGAATCCTTTAAGCTCCGTTTGGTTTGTGGGAAGATTTGGGTGGGATGGGAAAAGATGGGATGGGATGGGTTTCCAGTGTTTGGTTTTATACAAAGGAAAATAAAGGAAAAGTTGTTGGTTCTTCGCTGGAAGAAGAAGAAGAAGGTGAGGGAGGAAGACGGGAAGAACAGGGAACAGGGAACAGGGAAGCATTCACTGCCGGAAAAGTACTGTTGGTTCTTCGCCGCTGCCTGGTTCACTTCGCCTCTGCCTGGTACTTCGCCGTAGCCTGGTTCACCGTTGCCTGGTTCGCTTCGCTGTTGCCCGGTTCTTCGCCACTACCTGGTTCGCTTCGCCACTGCCTGGTTCGCTTCGCCGCTGCCTGGTTCGCCGCTGCCTGATTCGCCGTTGCCTGGTTCTTTGCCGTAGCCTGGTTCGCCGCAGATCTGGTGAAGACAGGAAGAACAGGAGTGCCCCTCGCAGTCGCTGCTGGTTCCTTGGTGAAGAAGAAGGCAAGTAACAGTGGTTCTTTCGGTTGTAACAGTGCTTTCCCAAATTTTTCCACCGGGGTCGCACGGTTTTGGTGCGACCCGAAATCCATGATTTTGGGATCTGACATCCCACACTTTTCTCATCCCATCCCTCTCTTTCCTTCAAAACAAATGAGAGAAAAAGGAATATTTTCGGAATATTCCCTTTTTCTCATCCCCATCCCACAAACCAAACGGAGCCTTAATAATTGGCATTGGAGACGCCAAACAGGATTACCAAAAAAAGAGATGCCAAAAAGAAGCAACATGTTCCTCTACTACAGGTACTCTTGTTTGGCAAATTAAAAGATCAATGGTGAGATGGGCACTGATTTTGAAGGATTACCAAGAGCACAATTGCTATCACTTCAGACTAAATTGGGAAGTATACTTTTTTTATTCCTGCTTCAAGGTATAGAATCAATTACATGTTATTCATTATTTTATCTCACCAACCATGCAAAGCTCACTGTATTTTGAGGGCCTTGCCCTTTTATCTTACCATACCAATAAATACTTTTACCATCTACCAAAAAAGAAGACAGAATTAACATGCTTTTGATTGGTAATAGAGTTACATGACAAATATTAATTTCTAATAACTAAAATGATTTATCATGTAACTACAAGCACAAAGATATACTGGCAAGTAATGAAATACCTGCTTTTCCTTCAAGTTTTCAAACTTGGTAGTAAACCATTGCCTTGTATAAGATGTGGAATTTTTCCATCGGCATGCACGTGGAAAGGATAGCTTTGACCCTTGGAAGATAGGTCGTGCAATATCAATATGTTCATAGGACCATATCTGTTGAAAAATCAGAACAAAAATCAATTAGTAATTACATATATTCATTATAACAGAAATTACAGATGCAGAAATATACCTGGAGAAAAATGAGGCAACTTCCCATGTATTCTACAGTTTCTCTTTTTCTTCTATCTAACCAGAAATATAAATCCCTAAGGACTGCTTCTCCCCATGCAAAGTGTGGCACTTTGTCTAGGTCTTTGAGAAAATAAAGATAACGAGAGTCTATTGTCCCATCAGCATTTGGAAACAGAAGCGCTCCAAAAATAAATAAAATGAAAGTCCTAATAAACTCTTCATTAGTCACCATACTGAGAGACTGTAACCTCCTTTCAAGTGATGCTACAGTGATCTGCCTATTCTGTGAAGAAGAACCATACACTTTCTCCAATTCTGAAAAAGGTTCATCTGTTAAAACTACAGGCTCACCAGTAACACGTATTCCAAGAATTAAGGCAATATCCATTAATGTGGCTTTTATCTCGCCAGGAGGAAGTTCAAAAGCTTTCTTTTCACAGTTCCATCTTTCTATCAATTCCGCTAAAAGAGTTTTGCTTAGGTTTTGATTAGGCATAACAAGCAGATGACTGAACCCCATCCTCTTTATTGCATTTCTTTGATTATCTGAGAGCTTTTCTACTCGTTTGACAAATGATGACACAGTAAACTTAGTACTAATGTTAACAACCTGCAAAAATTTAGTAAAGACAGGTTACATAAAGCCAAAGCACAAAAGAATGTTTAGACAAGTATTCCTTGAATTGCCCACAACTCTACATTGTACCGTGCAAATTTAATATTAAACCATCAGATCAACTTGTTCTTAGAAGCACAAATCAAATTTTCAGAACTAAAGGAAAAAAAAAAGTGAACAAATATGAGAACAAAAGTAATACATCACAACCATGAATGTAATTAAAAGTTTTTCACCCGGTATTTGATGGCCCATCATGGCAATAATAGGCAAAATTTAAATCAAAATACCATTTCATTGATTTCTAAAGGTGAAGACATGTGTACATAAACTCTAGAACCAACCAATGGAGGATAAGATGAGAGAAAGTTAATAGGCTCTAAAAAACCAAGGAGAAGGCCAGAGAAGACATTGCATGAAACCTAAGAATTTACTAATTATCTTTTAACAGAAAAAATGGCTCTTGATAAAGCAGAATGCTGGGACACAATTAAGGTTGACTGAATTGACTAGTCAATTATTAAAGCAATCAAACTTTCAGAAATACAAATGGAAAGAGGACTACAAATGGCTCAATAAAAAGATTAGCGCTGAAGAAGTTGAGAAAATTATTTAAAAAAGAAGTTTGTACATAAGAGCATTTCATGATTCAAAGGATTTTTTTTTTTTATGAATTCATGATTCAGAGGACAATCTAAAAAAGAAACAACCTCTAGTTCTCAAAACCAATCGTGTATCTTTGAACCATATTAACCATAAGCAACTAAACAGTTGGAATCAGAATTGACTGTTCCGATTCCGATTCCGGACAGACCCTTAGAAATCTGGAAATCAAATTCAAAGGTGTCATAAATTGGGTTGTTTCTGCCATTTCTTTATAAAATCTATGATACTTGGTGATGATGTCCCATCTGGAGGGCAATGGGCAGCATTGGAATTCCATGCTGATGTCAGCACTAGGGGACACCTGTAAGCATAAAAGAACATCAATGACCCCAGGGACCCATAAATCTCAAAACATCAAAGATCCCAGGGTAATATCCTGAGGAAAGAGACTTTGATGGTCAAGTCAACAAAGTGTATAAGAGAGAATAATGAACTGATGAACTCGTCGAAGATTGTGTGAGATGCAGGATGAGATGAGGTGTGACAAGGTGAGCGAGGGTAGAGTATATGGAGTATCTAGAGTCTTAGAATGGATAGGGGCTTACCAATTTATAGGTGAGGGGCCTCTTTCTGGAACAAACACATCATCCACATGTTCGAAATCTCAATCCACCCATCAAGCTTGTGGTCAACACGTCATGTGCACGTGGTTGGCCATGGGCCCGCTTTAAATGTGTTGGCGCTGACAGTCTGATTAGTTTTGCCACATGGATCATATATCGGCCCTAGCTTTACACATGGTGTCTGGCTTCTTGAAAGTGTGCCTCCACCTGGGCACCCAAGTGTTGCCTCCTCAGTCAATCATCAAGTGGACACATGACTAGGGATGGCAATTTTCCCCATTTCCCCAATCCCCATGGGGATCCACCCCGCCCCATGGGGAAATTTTCATCCCCGTTAACAGGGACGAAGCAGGGATGGGGAGAGTACTCCCCGCCCCTGGGATCCCCACTAATATATATGTATGTATGCATGCATACATTATATATGTATATATGTATGCATATATTATATATGTATATATGTACACATACATCTATATATTAATATTTTTAAAAATATGGTTGAATATGTTTGAATCTTTTCTAATAGGATTGTAAATTTTAATTATTTTATTTTTTTTTAAATTAAATAAAAAACAAAAACAAAATGGTTAACATTATAAAAAATCACAGGGAATGGGGATCCCCATGGGGACGGGGATGGGGATAACCTTGTCCCCATTAGCGGGGACAGGGATGGGGATTTTCGCGGGGATGGGGATGGGGACTACACATGACATAGGCTTGTGCACATGTATCATCTCCGTTCAATCTCATGCCTTCCTCCAAGCAAGTTATTGACTTTGGCTATTTCATAAGACGAGGTGTCTGTCTTCAAGTCAGCAAATAGACTCACCCAAGGGAGTGCTTGCCACACACAATCTAGAACTGGTGATGTTATGTGGTTGCACACCGGGGTAAAGTGACTTGATCATTCCGCCCGACTCATTGCCACATGTCAATTCCTGACTAGCAATTAGTTCTAGTTATATCAATTGGCATGAAAATCTTAATTTCTCACTCAATCACAAAACTCTAATGTAGAGAGCATCCATCTTCCTCCCTCTCCCTCCTTTCCTCCCTCTCCCTCCTTCCCTCCCTCCCTCTCTTTCTCTCTTTTCTTTATTACAAACATTTCTTTCTCACTCCTTTCTTCTTCACAATAAGCTATATCAAACAAAACTCTAATTGTAGAGTGCATCCATCTTCCGGTCTTTGTATGTGGGGAGGGAACCATAATCAATCAGATTGCATACCTAACTATAGATGGTTTTTATCCCTCCTTTCTCCACCTATATTGAAAGGGAACCATAATCAGCCCTTGGAAACAAGTCGAAGCACCTGGGTGTAGATGGTTTCCTTTCCTTTATTTCCTTTAAAAAAAGGAAAACAAAAGAGAAGAGAAGAATATGCAATCATGAAAATAGTCTCTTCTCTTCTCTTTCTTTCCTTTGCTTCATGAAACTTCTCATTTTCTTCTCTCTTCACTTTGGCTTTTCTTTGGACTCTCTGGGACTGTTTTTACCTAAGACATAATTTCTCTAAATGAGGGCAAGTCCCCCTCTAAGGAGCTTAAATACGGATTGAGGTGATTATGCAACTATCCCCTTCCCCTAAGGTGAAAAACACCTTGCTTTCCCACTTAAAGGGAGGGGACACCCATATGGGACACCTCATTTAATCTAGATAAGCTTTAGTTAGCCCACTAGCTAACCCATCTAATTCAGTTATAAACTATTTTAAGTTTATTTGATATTGCAGGCTCACAATTAAACCCATTTTCTTTCGTTATAAACTATGCTTTCAACAACGATGCACCCATATCTGGTCCTCAAAGGGAAAATAAGGCAAGATAAACAGCATAGACTCAGAAGGTGTTCATTTATTCCCATATCCCATAGATAGGTTTGCATTACTAGAAAATGTATATTTAAATTCCATTTTTAAAATTCAAACTATGTTCTTGGTCTATTCCATGAAGCAGCTAATTTTAAAACATACTGAAGATTGAAATTGTGTTCATCATAGATATAAAGATCAACTTAATTCAGCAATGCCTTAATCCCAATTATTAGGGTTGGCTAACAAAGGCATAAAGTTACTTTTCCAAATAACACGACACCTGGTTTTGGTTTTGAAGGGTAAAGAGAAAGGAGAGGAGTTAATAACAGAGAAGAGAATTGTAGATTTGGAATAAAATGAACCAATTAGAACAGAAAACCTAAACATGTCATAAGAAAAGTGGTCTGTTTGAAGTTTGAACCATTTGTTGCAAGTGAATAACTTCTCCTCATAAGGATTGTGCTTCGTAATTTGCTTTTTTCTTTCCGTACAGATTATTCCAAGGCTTTGTCTAGTTAGAATTTAGAAGTTGGATAACTAAAAAACACTCTTACATTTCACTTTTTGCCTCTGCCATCAGAATTTACCATTACTGAAAAGAAGAGAAGCAAGATCAACAATCCACATCTAAATTTAAGCCTGAGAAAGTGTAATCAGAAACTAACAGGAAGAGTGTAACAGGTATAGAAGCATAACCATAATCCTTGTAGTGGTCTGCACCCTGCAGGAACTTCCTCCAAGCAAATAGCAAGAAATGCTTCACTGCGCTCAAATATAGAAAAGAATCTTAGTTAACTAAAGGCATTTTAAATCACAACAAACGTACTATGAATCAGTTACCAAATGATTCATAACTTCCAATTATGCGCAAATGATTGACAATGGAAAAACAAGACAAAAGAGAAAAGAGTACAAAGATCAAATAAGCACCATTCTTTCACATTGAAAGAAAATAATATAACCTATAAAGAAATCTTTTTGATCAATGAATTCTTAAAAAGTTATCACCCAACCTACAACATGGCATGATTTGGGAAATGTCTTAAAAGAGGACATCCCACAAAAAATAACAATGTCCGAAGTCAATGGCTAACAGCATGTTAGATAAAAGAGAAATGAAATAATTTAAGTTCAGTTTTCGATCAACTAAAATGCACTGTTTACTGGTTGTAATCAAGAAAATAAACATAAATGAGTTCATTTCTCAAAATCCTGAAATAAACTCAAGAATGACATCATTTCATTCTCGGTGGATGGCATTCAAGCATGCCGCAACAAGTGAATTCGAACCAGAACTGTATCTGCATTGAAATAGATGACGATTCCAGTCGGTGGTCTCATATACCCACAGTCCATAAGCAGCTGAGCCAGGGACCGGCTGTGCTTCAGGATTTAGATCTTACGAGCCTTAATATTAGCCCTCGGAAAGAATGCAAGCCTTTTACATCACTTTTACAGGAAAGGTGGGGTATTTTACGAAAAATAAAAAGAAATAACACTAGGAAAGAAAACGAAATGAGAAAATATGATCTCAGATTATCTTGTTCATTGATATGGCTTTGTATCACCACCAAAAACAACCCATATTCTGCAAGTAAGCAAAAAAGCTCAAAACCCATAAAACCACCCAAAAACCCATATCTAATTATGTAACAAAAAAGACCGTTTTATGTTATACGAAAAGAAGAAGAAGCAGCTTCTGCTGGAACCAACATTCCATAAAACCCAAACGCTATACGAGCAAATTAAGCGTTTTTATTTTAATTTGTTAGGGTAAGGGACCAAGTAAGCAAGTAGAGAAGGAATACCCACCTAATGTCGTCAAATTTTAGACTGCTGTGCTTTGCCACGATCCTTTCTTCTTCTTACGAAGAACGAAACGACGCGGGGGGGATAATTAACTGAAGGCACTCAACTCACGGTGCTTCAGAAAGAACGGATATTAACCATCAAAGAGAGTTTGTAGAGATGAGCAGATAAAGTCTTTTTTTTTTTTTTTTTTTTTGAGCAGACAGAGTTTTAAGGCTGCTGTGAAGCTTCCGAATGAAGCTTCATTTCATTGTTACCAATAAGGGTGATTTGGCGCGAAAAATTTTCTGACAGTCCTACTTCATCTACGTTTCTGAATGAATTTCGTATCCGCTGCACACACTTGCGGTACACTAACCAGTAACTTACGGATCTTGTCTATGATTGCAAATCCCAAGTTTGTCTATGAAGAGCKGATCTAATTGTATTAGGGTCTAATCATGTCATGCCTCCCCTCTTTTCCGCCAAATGATTAATGAGTTTGTTTGACCAAAACTGAATTGGTTGAATTGAATGATTTATTTGATCATTTTGTTGTTTATTAAAAAGAAAAAATTATTTATTTGATTTAATGAACGGTGCCAAGAGATCGTTACGTGGGCATTTGTCTCATCATGTATGCTTATTTATCTTATTAATGTTTGTCTTGATTTACGTGCAAATCAAACGTGGGGGAAAGGTTCAAATGTTTCCTTCAACACAAAGGTGTTTATCTACTATCCTGTTTATGTGGTACTGATGTCTGGCTATCAATAAATACCAAAAAAACATTTATTAATCATTTTTGTTTTAAAGACGAATCAAATACAAATATTTATTTAATAAACAGAAGCCATGCCAAATATATACATAAACATAATAGAATTAGCCTAAAATGTAAATTAATATGAACCAAAATCCACGATGCATAAATTTCTAATGATAAAGAAAAAATGAACTAATGATAAAGTAATATATCATAGTTGAATTTCTAACATTGTTAATGTTAAAATAGTGTACACTATAAAATATAGTAAATAGTAAATAGATCAAGTAATGTTTCAAATACAATAGTTTGAAATTTTGATTTAAGGTATAATAAAAAAAAAAGTAAGTTGCTGAAACTTTCCCTGAAGTTTGATAATTGCAATCACCTTTCCTGGATTTTTAGACATAATTATAAATAAGCCTCCTATATTATAATTCTCTAACAAGAGGCACAAAAATGTTCAAAATACCCATGTAATTAATATTGTGTTGGTTTTTATAGAAAAAAACAATACAAACTTTATGAACAACAAAAAAATAAGAGTTTAAAGCTACAACTTTATGTTTGGGCGATGGATATGAAAGGCAAAATTAGAAAATAAATCAATTTGAAGAGGGTGCAGGACTTCTATGTTGGAATCCCCATCACAAGTCCCATAATTTCTCTTATTGTTGGTAGTGAAGAGAAGGCTCTTCATGCCAGTAGATTTCATCTCTCTCTCTCTCTCATGAAGGAAGATTTGGCCCGACCTCGTAATCACTCAACACGTGGCAAAGGCAAACATCTCAGCACAACAGCGCACCCAGGGCGCAAGCACCAAAGGGAAGAAATCAGCAGTCCGAACTCCCTACGAGGAGTCCGACCTCCCTACTAAGAGCTTGAGCTCCCTACGAGGAGCCCGACCTCCCTACTAAGAGCCCAATCTCCCTACTAAGAGCCTGAACTCCCTACGAGGAGCCCGAACTCTCCCTTAGGCCCCAAGCCGCACAAGGCAGTGACCCGAACTGGCCTGCCTCATGGCAGTTCGGGACACTCCCCTATCCGAACTCAAGACTTCACCTTGTTTGCCACTCCAGCACTTCGCCTCCAGAACGCTGAACTGAGCAAACGTACCATACCTGACACCGAGGAGGTCCGTATCCGAGGGCAGCGCACCTGACTGACTTGGGATCTGACGCTTGACAGCCACACTTCAACGGTCACCTACCACAGCCACCTGCCACCGTCATCACCAGTTGTAGAGACGGCTCCGACAAAAGGGAGCAGTTGCGGTTCTGTCCAGCAGAGGGGATGACACCCGAACTGGCAGGAGACTAGAGGTAATCATACCCGACCTGACAGAAGCTTAGGAGTGAGTGCACGAGGTGGCTATAAAATGCTCCCTACCCCCAAGAACAAGGTACGTGAACTTTGCGCCATCTGGTTTTATCTTGCCTAAGAATTCTAACTTGAGCTTCGGAGCATTCATATCGGGTTCCCCCCAGAGCTTCCTCATCTTCTCTGTTTCAGGCTCCCTATAGCTCCGTTCAGAGGCAAGGCCATTGACAGCTAGGACCAGCCAGATTGCGCACCATCAATTGGCGCCGTCTGTGGGAACGCTTCAAAAACCCTCCCTCTAAACTCTCATAACCTCTTTTCTTCAAAAACCCCAACACTCATGGCTTCTTCTAGCAACGCCGGACGTGGCACGGAGACAAACACCACCGGGGAACAACTTCAAGTCCCCGTGGTGTGCGTCAGATAGTTCACTATCCCCCTTTCAGTGGATGGGATCCCCAGCTTGAATGCGCCACAAGCAGTGACGCCTGTAAACATTCCTGCCATGAGCATCCCCTTTCCTCCCCCTATCGAGACAACCTTTACTGAAACAACTGCCGTCCCCCTGGCAACCAGCCAAAACCGGTTGGACGACCTGATGCAATGCATGCAGGCAATGCAAGCCCAAATGCAACAATTCCAGCAACACCAGCTCCAGCAGCACCAAGTACTGCACAACATCTCCTAGTATCACTATCAACAGCAGTTCCCCCAACTGCCGCTGAACCAACCACTACTTCCACCTCGGCGCCCTGCTCCGAGGCCGGTTAAGGCCTCCCCACAGGATGGACGCTCCCACCAGGGAAAAGCCTCCCGGCCCCAGAACCCCCCTAACAGCCAGGCTTCGTCCCCAGGCCAAAGAGAGAGAAAAATCACCCCCGCCTCGCAGCTCGCAGGTGGGTCAAGAACCTCGCCCGCAAGGTCAACACCTCGGCGCTCCAAGCCCGAGTTCTCGCTCACGGAAAACCGATTTGGCATCCTAGCAGCAGGCTACTAGCATTCCGGGCCCATCGAGCTCGGCAACACAGAGGCCAGCAGCACCAGTACCAGGCCCACTCAACAACGAAGGCGCCGACGAAGTCGCCAAACTGCCACCCGTGTCCTACCCGAGCTCAGAGGTAAGGAAGAGACGAGCTCAGACGAGGTAAGAGCCGCCTCGATCCTCTCAGTTCCTTCCCCCCTCGCATCAGAACTCCTGGCGGTCCCCTTGCCTACAGATTTCAAGCTCCCACCTTTGGACAAGTATGATGGGTCCTTTGACCCCAACGACCACGTTGATGCTTTTCAGTCCCAAAATGCACCTCGCCAAGGCCAGTGAATCGTGCATGTGCGTGGCCTTCACCACCACCTTCAGGGAGGTAGCCCGCACTTGGTACAGGAACCTGGCCCCTGGGTCGATAAGATGTTGGGCCCAGTTCATGCAGGTCTTCACCACACACTTTGTCACTAGCAAGCGGTGCCCCAGAACAGAGGAAAGAATCTTCGGAGTGGTCCAGAGAGAAGGAGAATCCATCCAGGGCTACATCAAGTGGTTCAATGAAGCGTGCTTACAGATACCGCGGTTAGACCCCGCGGTGCAGCTCGCGGCGGCCAAGAGAGGAGTAACGCACAAAGAGTTCAAATGGCACATGGTAGCCAGCCAGCCCACAACCGTGGCCGAATTCCTCAAGCTCGCGAATAAGTTCATGAGAACAGAGGAAGAAATCAACCAACGGTCCGAAAGCGGGAACGAGAAAAGAAAGAGGGAAGGCGAGCCCTCCAACCCAGTCAATAGAAAAAACCCGGCCCGGGAGCCGAAGCCGAACCAGTCGTTCCGAGCTCCCTTAGCAGTTCGGACGGATTACACGCCGTTAAACACGAAGCGGACCGAGATATTAATGACAATCAAGGACGCCCCATACGTAAAGTGGCCACCTCGCCTAAAGGGAAATCCGAACGAGAGAAATAAAAATTTGTACTGTAGTTTCCATAGAGACCACGGTCATAGTACCGAATAGTGTAATAATCTCCGGGACAAGATAGAGGGACTCATCCGTCGCGGATACTTAAGGAATTTTGTACAGCATGATAATAATAATAACAATAAGGTAGGTCGGCAAGGGGAGCACGGAAAGGATGCCTCCGAATCTAGCAGCAGACCAGCCGAACCGTTGTAGCGACAGCCTCCGGAAGAGAGGCCAGTTCAGGGAACCATCCATGTAATTGTGGAAGGTTCGGTGGTAGCAGGGTGTACTTCGGCAACGGCTCAAACGTCAGTTCGCGAAGCAGCCCAAGAGGAACAGAACCCCCCAAAAAGACCAAAGACTGAAGAGTCGATCTTCTTCACGGAAGACGTTGCGTGAGGGGTCCGCTATCCCCATGATGACGCGCTTGTCATTAAACTAAGGATTAGCGACTTCGAGGTAAGGCGCGTACTCGTGGATTCGGGCAGCTCGGCAGACATCCTCTTCAAGTCAGCATTTGACCAGCTACAGTTACAGAGGGGCGAGCTGAAGCCCGTGAGCACTCCTCTGGTGGGTTTCAGCGGAGAGGAAATCAGGCCCCTCGGAAAAATAACAGTACCTGTGGAAGTAGTCGGCACATAGCCTTGTGCGGTCAGACTTAACCATGATTTCCTGGTGGTCGCGACCCCCTCCCCATACAATGCCATAATAGGGCGGCCAATTACGCATATCCTGCGGGCAGTGGTCTCCACATACTATTTGGCAATGAAGTTCCCTACAGACTTCGGTGTGGGGGTAACGCGGGGCGACCAGCTC